CCCCTGCCATGGGCAGGGACACTTTCCACTAGACCAGGCTGCTCCAAGCCCTGTCCAGCCTGGCCTTGAACACTTCCAGAGACGGGGCAGCCACAATTTCTCCCCCTCCTCACCTTCTCCTCTCCCTCCCCATCCCTGCAGACAACAGGACATACCACTTCCAAGCGGAGGATGAGCAGGAGTGTGTTGTGTAAGTGTCACAGCCCATCCCCACTCCTTGTGGTGCCAGATCCTTCTCTGCCTTCCTCCCTCCTCCTGATGGAACTCCTTCCTGCCCAGGTGGGTGTCAGTGCTGCAGAACAGCAAGGATGAAGCCCTGAGCAATGCCTTCAAGGGGGACCCTGGTAGCAGCGGGGCAGCAGCAGGCATTGGGGTGGATGGCAGCGTGCAGGAGCTCACCAGGCTGGTCATCAGCGAGGTGAAGAACATGCCAGGAAACAAGCAGTGCTGTGACTGTGGGGCCCCAGGTAGATCAGGGCCTAGGGTGTGGGTTGGGTACCCACAGGGGTCCTGTGGGCAGGGTGTGATGCAGAGCCCTGTGCTACTCCCATCACAGACCCCACGTGGCTCTCCACCAACCTGGGCATCCTGACGTGCATCGAGTGCTCCGGTATCCATCGGGAGCTGGGCGTGCATTATTCCCGCATCCAGTCCCTCACCCTGGATGTCCTCAGCACTTCTGAGCTGCTGGTAAGCTGCTCCCAGAGTCTGGAGAGCTTGTTGTCACCGGGAATCATCCTCTGCAGCTCCCAAACCTCCTGGGATGCAGAATTCATTCCTCCCCCTCCATCCCATCCATCCCCAGTTTCCTCCAGTGCTGACAAACTTGCCTCAGTTTCCAGCACGTTGGTGGGCACAGGGAGGGGCTCTGTAGAGGTGTTTGCTGAGGGGAGATGGTAGCAGCACTCCGATATTTGCTCCCTTTAAAACAGACTTCCCCTGCTATGAGAGAGCATCATCCTGGCAGAGGTGCTGCTCTGGGAAGGTCCTGAGTGGATCTAGTGGGTTCTTTCCCACCAGGGTGGGACCTGATTGGGACAGGGTGAGTGTGGCTCATCTCCCTCTGTCCTTCCCTCTCTCTGTAGCTGGCTGTGAGCGTTGGGAACACTCGCTTCAATGAGATCATGGAGGCCACGCTGCCCGTGCAGGACTGCCCCAAACCCTCAGCTGGCAGTGACATGTGAGTCAGCCATGGGCTGGGGGCTAGGGGTGGGCTGCAAGGGGGAGGAGGAAAAGAAGAAGGAGGAAGAGGAGTGCATGGTCTGTCCTTGTCCCCATGCCACTGTCCATCAGCTCTACGATAGCCCAGGGGTGGGTGAGTGGAGGAATCCTGGTGTCATCGCTGTGACTGTGGTGGGGATCTGCCCCATCAGCACCTTTTGGGAGGCTTCCCCTTGATCCTGAGGCTTCAGGAGGAGGCAGGAGCAGAGGGTACACCCAGCTGTGGTGGGACTGGGGGAGTCTGGTCTCCATGCCCATCCAAGCCTCCCTTGCTTCAGGGCTGCCCGCAAGGAATACATCGTGGCCAAGTACATGGAGCGACGCTACGTGCAGAAGAGCAGTCGGGACGATCCCCACCGCCTCTGGGAGGCCATCCGTGCCCGGGACCTCCTGGCCCTGCTCCAGGCTTTTGCTGAGGGGCACGACCTGGCTAAGCCCCTAGCCAGCCCTGAGGGCCAGGTGAGCTCCACACCTGGCAGCACTGAATGGATTTTCCCCCTCTGGGTGTCTATGCTCAGGGTTTTCCTGGTCTTTGGGTGGAGATGAGCATCCTTGGGTCCAACTCTTTTCTCCCCTGCATCTCATGGGAGATAAGCTTCCTTGGGCCCATCTTTCCTTTTCCCTTCATCTGGGAGGGAGATGAGGATCCTTGGGTCCATTTCTCCCTTCCCATCCTGGGGCAGATGAGCATCCTCAGGCTCATCTCTCCCTTCATCTCTTGGCAGGATCCAGGTGAGCTGGCGCTGCACATGGCTGTACGCCACGCCGACAGATCATCCCTTCCCTTGGTGGACTTCATCATCCAGAATGGGTGTGTTCCCAAGTGCTCCTGGTGTCCCCTGCCTGCTTCCCCATGGGAGGAGTGTGCAGGATGCTTGTGTGTTCTCAAGTCTTGACTCTCCTGGTGGTGGCTCTGTGCAGGGGGACACTGGACCGGGTGACGCAGGACGGGAACACAGCCTTGCACTACAGTGTGCTCTACAACCAGCCCAACTGCCTCAAACTGCTTCTGAAGGGCAAAGCCTCCTTCACCACAGGTATGGGGCTGGAATGGAAATTTTAGGGTCTCTGGTAGGAGTGGCAAGGCTGGATTTGTCCCCTTTTGTCCCTTGGGCAGTGAATGCAGCGGGTGAGACAGCTCTGGACATGGCGAGGAGGCTGAAGCACAGCGAGTGTGAAGAGCTGGTAGGTGGGATGGAGGGATGGGAGAGATGCTCAGGCTGGGGAGAAGGGACCAAATCACCTGGGGAGGAGGACTGGCATGGAGGTTGGGCGTTGCTGGGACCTGTCTCCACTGTGCTGAGACCACCTGTCCTGCCCCATCTGTCCTGCAGCTGGAGCAGGCACAGGCCGGGAAGGTCTCCCTGCAGATCCATGTCGACTACGACTGGGAGCCCCCCCAAGACTTCACCTACGACAGTGAGGATGAGGTGGAGGAGAAGGTACCTGTGGGAGGGTGGCAGGGGTTTGGGGTTGTGCAGACCCTGTGGAGGGGTGGTAGCAGCTCTACCCAGGTGTCTAGTCCTCTCCAGCGCTCCTTCAAGGGCACATCGCCGCTGGCCACCAGTCCCCCTCCCGCTGTCCCCCAGACCCGCTGGAGCTGCATGGGGATGGACATCACCAACAAAACCTACGAGAGCATCCTGGTGCCCTC